CCCCCAGAATTCAACAATCCCCCAGAATTCAACAATCCCCCAGAGTTCAACAATCCCCCAGAATTCAACAATCCCCCAGAGTTCAACAATCCCCCAGAGTTCAGCAATCCCCCAGAGTTCAGCAATCCCCCAGAGTTCAACAATCCCCCAGAGTTCAACAATCCCCCAGAGTTCAACAATCCCCCAGAGTTCAACAATCCCCCAAGATCCAAACCCTTCGCAGCGTTTTATCAGGAATGAAGCAGATCAAAACAAACCTTCAACGCTTAGAGACAGCAGTCTTTGCACAACAACCACGGTCATTCAGCAGAGCGTCCTCAAACAGTCGCCCCCTTCAGGCAGGCAGCAGAGAGACACAACTAAAACCCAGTACAGCCCTGAGGACCTCATCCAGAGTCCACCTCAGCCCAAATCCCTCCAGAACATCACTACCTGCTCCAGCAAACAGGGTCTCCAGACCGTCGACCCCTTCCAGGAGTCCCTAACCTTCAGCTACACCCAGCATGACGTGCATGCTCCCAGCATGAGTCCCAGCTCCGCCCACCAGGCTCCTTCTCACCCAGAGCCTCTGACCCTCGCTTCACCCCATCCAGCTAATCTGCATGATAAATCTCCATATCCTCCACCTCATGAACTAACACCACCCCAAGATCCTGATATCTGTCTGCCCGTGGTCATCCGCGAGGAGATCAGGCTGACCCCCCAGGTCCAGGGGCCTCCTCTTCCTCCCGTTCCTCTTCCTCAGGGAAAAGCCTCTGAACCCGGCCTCCCCTGCTTCACCAGGCCCCGATCTCAAGCCGTGGTCATGGAGGGCTCTCCAGTGACGTTAGAGGTGGAGGTGCTGGGGAACCCAGAGCCCAGGCTCACCCGGTGGGTAGCATACAACCATCTCCATGGTAACGCTCAGAGCTCATCAGATTATTAACAACACGGCTTAGAAACAGGCAACCATAACATGAGCAGCAACAAAAAGATGGTGGGATGGATGATACCAGACCCATGCTGGTGAATCCCCCAGATTTATCTAACATGACCTTATGATGCCACACACACCATTACACATTCTTTGCCAAACTTAAAGGTATAGTGGAGGATTTCGGGATGTTTTTAAAAGACCCTCTCCACTTTTAAAAACAAATGCACATGTACAACCCTGTTCCCCCTCAGGTAGGGAACACCCATTAAACGCCTGCAACAGCATGCACAAGCCTATTTCTCTTGTGCACATTCTGTTTAAAAATGTTTGCATCGCTCATACAAGCTTACTTTCCAAAAGAAGATTTGTAATTTTTCCGCAATGTCAGACCAGCGGTAAGTGAAAATGGGGAGGAGCCTTACGTAAACATATCACCAGAATGATTGACAGTTATGAGGACCACTGATTTTGATGATCCACCCAGAAAAAGAACATCCTCCACTATACCTTTAACAGTGGATTTGACGTGTTTTTCCTTATTTTTTTTTTATTCTTTATTTCGAACATGCAAGAGAAAAACAATAAAACAATGTTTAAAAACATTGGAGGGAAAAACAACAAACAAGGTACCCTTCTTTCCTAAATTAATTAATATACCTCTATTACATGTGCGAAAAGGAGTAGGAAGAAGTAAAACTTATGTGCTCCTACCCCTTTAATTCTTGTATTTCTTTAATTTACAATATTTATAATTATGTTGCTATATATATCCATATAAATACACACCTACCTACACATATATATACATAAATATGTATACACATATACACGTATAATTAGTCCTTAATTTAATATTAGAACCTGCAGTGTTTGGGTTTTTTAGGTTCATTTTAGTCAGAGTAGATCCAGGCTGTCCAGAGATGCTTCCTTCAGGAAGGTTTCCTTGTGTTTTATATGTTTCTCTATTGTTGGCTGATTAACATCTAAAAGATGCAGGACGTCAGCCATCGAGGTTACTTCCAGTTAAAAGGGAGTGTTTTTCTCTCCTCTGTCACTGCATGCATGCTCATCGTGAGGCTACTGTCTCTAGCTGCTCATCCAGGAGGAGCGAATCCTCTCTCTGATTGAATCAGCTGTAAAGCATTGATTTCCAAAGTCAGGGTCTGATCAGTCAGTTAGGGTCTTATAATTCACTACAGAAAATAAATAAACAATAAATATTTATATTAAGGTGTCCAAAGATATATAAGCTTCAGTTAGAAATAGACAAACCCAGCTACCGTTGTTAATAAAGTGTTTGTTAATAGATTCTGTGGAAATGTTTGCATAAAGTAATAATTTGGGTCATAATTCGACTCTGGCACCACATTGTGGGCCAGTTTGGGAACGTCTACATTAGAGTTGAAGGTAGGGCAGAAAAGACGGGCGTCTGGTTGTCATGACGACCTTCAGACATGTTTTCAGACACAGTTGGACCTTATTGGTTGCAGTTCCAGCTGCTCTCACAGCAGATATTTAATGTGACTATGAAAAATAAGAGGACTGATGGATTACTGATAAATCCCTCCCAGACTCCCTGCTCAGCTTATAAAAATCACCCAGAAACAATAAAGATGCTTTAGTTTCATTTATTTTACAGATTATTTTGGTTTACAGGGTTGAAAACGAAAAAAAAAATCTTACTAAGGATGCAGATATATCAGCATTACTACTAATATCAGCTAATGTTTGTCATTTTTAACATATGAGTCTAATAATATTAAAACATTTATTTCTATCTACATAGTGTTCTTGTTTCATGTGGTTTGGTCATGTGACAGTGATGCATTTAATTTTTATTTAAAGCAGAGAAGATATAATAGCAGCACTCTCGTTGATCTTTCACAGTATATATTAAATATATTATTGGTAATTATTGTCACGTCATGTTTACTTTCAGGGCCTAAACTTTCTTAAATCTATAATGTAGGAGTTTTCTAAAGCATCAGTGGGAAGTTAAGCTGCTGCAGAAGAAGAACAGGAAGCAGCTTTAAATGGACAT